AGTGTCTGGTATGGATCGGGAGGGGGACCACACGCCGTTTTTTTTTTCTTTTGTTTATATTTCTTTTATTATGCTCACTACCTCCAGGTAGCATGCTGCTGTGATCCTATAAAGTTCATACATGCAAATATGATTAATGGCACATATGTCCCCACAAAAAACTGGAACCGATACATTTAAATAATTATTTCAAACACCTGTAGTAGATAAAAAATACAGTTATTGCCCATAGACATCTTACATTTGCTTTCCAATCTGTCCTAGAAAGATAACAGATTGAATCTGATTGGTATCTTGTGGTAGCTTCTTTACTTTACTTTATTCTTCCTTATACTTTACTTTTTTATACATAAGGTCAAGTAAGTCTGAATGTGAATAAGAGAGCGCTCTTCACACTAACATTGCAGCATACGGTATATGAAATTTTTATTGTATTAACCAAAAGTAAACATTTTAAAGTCATGCTTCATTGCACTAAGCAATCTTCTCCATCTATGAAATAGAACTCCCGGTGGCTCCATAAATCTCAGCGTTCATGTTAAGAGCTCAACAAGGCCTGGTTAAATGAAAAGCTTACATGTAATTACTTGGTCTGGGGGAGTATAATGACCTGGGCAGCTGCCTCCCGAGCTCTCCTTCATGCATACATTTTTCAACTGAGAATATAAAGTTATATTTACTTTAGAATATTGTGATTTGTTACTTCCCTTATGGTTAAAACACATATCTCATTATACTATTTCTAAAAACTGTATGTCAAGCCAAAACTTTTTCTTTTGGGGGGGGGAGGGGTTGTGTAGATAAAGTTGGGTCCCAGATTTTCCTTCACTTTCTTCATTGTCACTGTGACAATAAGTGGGGGGATATCTCTCTAATGGAGTTTCATATAACAATATATCCAGCACAGCGGTGTTCTAGTTCTTCCACACTTTATCCAGAATTTTCTCCTTTGCCTGAGAACTACACTTTATACTAGAAAACATGTAAAGCTATGTGACTACAGGGAATCACATGTTGACAGCAACAAATCCTACATGTGCACTCTTGGTGCACTGCCATGTATTTAGGGCGGTAAGTGGGTAGACCTCCGTGGGTCTGCTTCCCTTCTCGCCTGTTCTGCTGTGTCTGCCACATGCCTCTTTGTTAAATGCAATACATGATACCTCTCTGTTACACAACATGTCTCATACTTTCTAGTATATGTTTTGCCTTATACTTTTCTATTATGCGCAAAAAAAAAAAAAAAATTGCTCACAAAATAAATAAAAATGTACACAAACAAAAAAAACCACAAATTTTTTTGACAGTCCGGCATTCCCACATAGATGCGCAAAAATGCGTTAGATGTGCCTACACGCAATTGCTCCAATCATGCTGCACGTGTTACATATTGCTGCGAACGTCGCAATGAGAGCAATAATTCTAGGCCCATAAATCACTGATAACACTAAACTGATGAGCGGTAAAATCTTTTAAAGCGTCACCTATGGCCAATTTTGGCTATGGTGCTTTTGTGCGATTTTGCCGGCGCGCGCAATTTTAAGGCTTGACATGTTTGGTGTCTATTTACCCGACGTGACCCCGCCTTTTATATTTTACCAAAAAATTGGGTAAAAATAAATGTTTCCTAAAAAAAATCAAGGGAAAACCATTTTCTTTTTAAATATTCGGTACTTTTTTTGTTATATAGTAAAAAATAAAAACCCCAGTGGTGATTAAATACCACCAAAAGAAAGCTCTATGTGTCCCCAAAAAATGGTATAAAATTAATTTCAGTACAGCGTTGCATGACGGACTAAACGTCAGCCAAAGTACCGTAGCGCTGAATACTGAAAAATGGCCCGGACAGGAAGGGAGTGTAAGCACCCCGGTCAGCAAGTGGTTAACAAAGTGCCTCATTTCTATTCACTGCAAGCAGTGTCTTATGCCTCTCTGCTAAAAGAAGTGCCTCATACCTCTCTTATGTCCCAACCAATGTAGATATAGTTGCTTAAACATTTGGGGTATTGATAGTTAGTTTGGGTATGTGTTAAACTGATAGCACATGTTTTAATCTACTAAGGTTATATTAGGTGGTCCTGAAATTAAAATATCAAATTGCAGAAAAACTGCAAGATATTAGAGAGTGTGTCCAATGTTAAGATGGCCACACAGATTACAATCTCCTTTTAGATTTAATAATAACTATGCTCTAACTCTGGAGACCTAAAACTATAAGCTATCCATACATGGCCACCACTCCAAGCTCACTCCCGTGATGGACTACAATCTCACATTTAGTTTATTCATTTGTATTGAGATTGTAGTCCATCCTGGGAGCGAGCTCGGAGCGCTGGCTACTTTACATCACACACACAGGGACCATGGGGAACAAAGTAGCCACCCTCCAGAAGAAAGGACAGTGTCGGCACCAATTCAGAGATGATTTGTGGATTTAAAGTCGAGTGATACAGAAATAAGATACATTTTTGTTAATAGTTATGGTACGTGAATGCATTTTTAAGATTTAACTCCTGAGTTTAATGTCACTATAATGGCATTAACTGGGGAATCTCTGCTGCCAGCCATTGTATTTAGCAGCCAATCATTTTACACCGGGCTCAGTTGATTTTGAAATTGACTTATTGAGCTGGGTGGTACTTTCAGAGCCACACATGACTCAAATCTCATTCAACGTAGAAGGAATTGGCCGAAATTTGAGCTGTCTATAGAGCCACTTCCCCTTAAGATTGTAAGCCCTCACGGGCAGGGCCCTCCTTACCGTCTTGATTTGTATTGTGATTGTAATGTCTTCCTTAAATTGTAAAGCGCTGCGCAAACTGTTGGCGCTATATACATCCTGTATAATAATCATAATAATAGCCAGCTTAGAGAAGAAGTAAAGCGGTCATTTGAAAAAACTCCTGACAGCCAGGTTTTTTTTTATAGCAGAAGAGACCGTGTAAATCTCTTCTGCCAAAAAATCTCCTACCTGCCTGTCAGCAATTTTTCTTTTTTCTGTGCACTGAGCCTTGCATGCACAGCTCAGTGCACAGGCTCGACATTCCAAGATAAAGTAACTGCTGTGCACAAGCTGGCTGGCCAATCAGCTGCGCGACCAGGAGAAAGATGGCAGTGCCAGCGACGGATGGGAAAGTAGACAGTGCTGCGCTGGATGGAATTGCATCCACAGCTCAGTGCACAGGCTCGGCATGCCAAGATAAAGTAACTTCTGTGCACAAGCTGGCTTGCCAATCAGCTGCGCGAACCAGGAGAAAGATGGCAGTGCCGGCGACGGATGGGGAAGTAGACAGTGCTGCGCTGGATGGAATTGTTTTACAAGGGAAGTCTGACATAATGTGCTTATATTCTGTGCATACTAGCACATAATGGCAAACAACCATTTAACACTTTTTTCTAATATACCTACTTTATTTCCTATTTAAGACTGCCCCTGGAAACAGTTGGGAAGCTAGGTAGAATGTGTAGTGTGTGGGGTTAATCATTATTTTGATGATGTTTTATGCGGAAGCAGCAAGGAAAAAGAAGACCTGCTGCCAAAATAGTTGTTTAAGCATAGCAGTGTTGCTATTCCTTCATACTGAATGTATCTCTTATCTGGGAGTAACATGATACCTATAGAGACAGGAGGACAATATGACAATTATTGCTTGAGACTCCATTACGTGCCATGTTCTTTTATTCCCAGGATATGTATGAATACAGAACTTGTGTACACATAGATGCCTCTAGTACATCATAGACCTAACCATTTACTATATACGGTAATCCATTCAAAAGCACATTTATCCCCAAGAATAAAGGACACCGAGACATCTGCCCATCCTCACGTCTGTCAGAACCTGCCACAGTCTACCTGGTACCTTTACCCATGATTAAAAGTGGCACTTGCATGGTAAATGCTTCCTTCCATTGGAGAAAAGTGAAGGATCATCATACGCAAGGGTTTCTTAACAAGTTGAAAAATCTCTACATGTGATCGTGATGTCTAAAAGTTCTTGATCGCACTCATGGAAACCTAACACAGCCCATTCCTTTTAGGAGGTTAGGTTTATAATTCATTTCTTGTGCCCTTGTTGATCAGAACTCCCTGATTTTCTATTATGGGCCTGGAAAGAAATTGAGGAGAATATCTCCAATGGGAACGCAAGCAGGAATTGAAGTTTCTTTCAATAAGAGAGTAGGGAAGGGTGTCACTGGAACAGGAAGAGTAGGAAAATCTCAACATTGGAGCTGTAAATAAAACCCCAGCAGTGGCTCTAGCCCTTTGCCACACCATTCCAGACAAAATGAATTGTATGACTTTAAAATAATATAATTGGAAAGACATGTATGCAAAACTGGATTTGAATAGGCCATATATAAATAATTTACATTTCACCGAAGCTGTATGGTTAAAATGATCTACCTTTTTACTATTTATAGAATTGTTGGATGCATTTCTTCTAGGGAAAACTACAATTTTCTTTGAATAGTTTATTTTTAGTGAAGGGTTCTACAAATAGCATCATCATGCTGTAATACTTTTTAGAGTACAACAAGGTATGACCTCTGTCTGTGTTGGAGCAATCCGGCTAAGGATGTTTTTCAAGTGGGTTACATAACAGGTTGTTGTATGGTTATTTGGACTGAAGAAGGTAACCAGAGAAACCACACTTGTTCTCATGCCCCAGGTTTCTGCTTCGCCTCTTGTTTGTGTGCAGTACAAGCCAGTGGTATGAGCTGGCGAATACTCATTTGTAGTGTTCATAGTATAGTAAGGAGTACACAACTTTCTCTTTTTTTCTCACCATGACTGTCTCTGATCAGCTGAATAGTAGGCCGTTTTGGTTTCAAGCACCCTGAGCCTAACTGTTTTCATTTTTTAAATCCACAGGTTTCCCACTTTCAATGTTCTTGTGGAACACTGATATGAGCCAATTCAGTTTTTCTTATAAAAAAAAGTTATTGTATTTCTCAATTCAGGTATATCTATTAATATCTCACGTTTTCACTTTTAGGCCTCTAGTGGTAACTATTACTTCATTTCATACATCGTGACACCCTGTGGAGACTACTTTTGCTGTGAGAGTGATGCCCAGCGGAGGGCCTCCGAGTACATGCAGCCAAACTGGGACAACCTCTTAGGACCATTATGTGCCCCTCTAAGTGATAGATTCATTAGTTTGCTGAAAGACATACATATTACTTCATGGTAAGTATAATGTGCACTCCAGAGAAATAAAGAGTATTTCCTTCATTAATTTGGCAACCATGCACGGCCACTTAAGAGGAAAGGATGATGCAAACCATTTAAAACTGTAGTATCTTAAAGTAAAATGTTTTCAAACATTGCTCTGTCAGCTAATCACACCCTTTGCTAAGCTCAAGCAATGTCTTTTAAGGCCTCATTCAGATGGGGCGTACACTTCCGTGCGGTGTGCACGCACGTGAACGGCCGATCCCGGGTGGGACAGGTGCTGCCTGTAATTGCACGCAGCAGCCTGTTCTTCCCTCGGGTGCGCGGATGACAGCGTACAGCCGCGTCCTCCCATAGGGAAGAACAGGCTGCTGCATGCAATTACACGCAGCACCTGTCTCTCCCGGGATTGGCCCATTTACAGGCATGCACACCACAGGGATGTGTACGCACCGTCTGAATGAAGCCTTAGTATTCAGAAATAGTGGCATGTGGGACAAATATTGAATGTGGCTAGGAAAGAGTTTAAGAAAATCAACGACTTTAGCTATATGCACCAGTCTCCATTTCCTAACCGTTTACCTCAGATGTCTTCTGAACCTGAGTGTCTCTGGCATGTCCAATCAACCTGAGTATCTCTTTGGCATGTCTCTAGATAGGCAGAGCCAGCTGTCACTCACGCAGCTGGGCGGATCCAGGCATAATTGTCGGGATCTGCTTCAGCTGCGGCGTCTCAGTATACCGCAAGCTGTTGCGGTATACTGAGCTTAGGGTGACGGGAGGACGCTAGTTTGTGTCCTCCCGTTACCGTAAGGAGAACTATGGGGAAAAGCCCTAAACCCCATAGTTCTCCTTTTAAAGTGAACCTGTTGCAGCATTATTGATTGCACACAGTGTACGCATGCCCTCTTGACTAAGTAAAATTTTTTGTCATGTAGTACATTTTTGCCTCAACTCTAAAAACTGATCAAGTGTCACCTTAAAAAAATGCACAAAATGCATGTGCAAACGCATAACTACAGTATGTTTTCCCTTTTAGTGCATACTACAAGGAAACGCTGCTGAATGACATCAGAAAGGCCAGAGATAAGTATCAAGGAGATGAACTTGCTAAAGAGCTGACTCGTATAAAATTACGAATGGATAACACAGAAGTCCTGACTTCAGATATTGTAATCAACCTGCTCCTCTCATACCGAGACATCCAGGTTAGAGACTTGGAAGAAAGAGATTATGCTGTAAATCCTAACAGTGCATATCTAATTACTTTACATGCTTTTACATGCTTACTGCACTTTCCAACATTCCTGCTGAGCTAACCGAGGTGTGCAAATTTATGATAATGAAGAAGACGCCATTGCCAAGAATATGTGTAATGTCAAACTATTAATAATTATAGTATTTAGATTACTGTTTAGCTTTATGTCTTTATATTATGTCTTCAGTGCTATTAGCAGATAGTTTTGCAAAATAGAGTTAGGTAGCTAAAGAAAACAACTTGTGTGTTAACTAGATATTTAAATGGTTTCAACAGTTTGCAATAACAGCATAAGGTTTTTAGACACACATTTGCAAATATATGTGAAGCCACACTGTCATGCCAGAGCGCCTGCAAAGTGTGGCCCCACGTCTAGTCAAACGGAGCTCCGACCTTGCACACGTTATACTCCAGTTATATATTTCCTGAAAGCAGAGACCCTGTAGAATAAAATGGTGGCAAATTTTTACATCGCATGATATTAGCAGAACTCTTTATAAAACCCCACATTTCTGTAAAAAAAATACACTTAAGGTAATTTTATTGCACAAAACACAATAGAATACCCATTTTTTTGTAAAATATAAAAGATGAGATTATGCTGAGTAAATAGATACCCAATATGACAGGGTTAAAAATTGCTTGAGCCCGTGAAATGATGACAATATACTGTACCCCATATTGTCCATAGGCAACGCTTTAAAGGCTTTTCCCCATAGTTCTCCTTAGGGTAACGGGAGGACACAAACTAGCGTCCTCCTGTCACCCTAAGCTCGCTACTGCTCGCTGTATACTGAGACGCCGCAGCTGAAGCGGATTCCGACAATTATGTCTGGATCCATCCAGCTGCGTGAGTGACAGCTGGCTTTGCCTATCTAGAGGCAGAGCCAGCTGTACCCGCCCCCTTCCTAACAGCTCTAGACGGAACGGAGCAGGGAGGGGGGAATCCAGCCCCTCCCCTGTCACGGCAGAGAGCTGTGACAGGATCGCACTCACCTCATTGTTCTCCTTTAAATGCCCATACAGGTCATCGTTTTACAGATTGTGCTTGAATAGTTTCTTCACCATCGTCTAGTGATGCAGTCAGTGTCACTCCCGCCTTCATTTAGCAGGGAGGAGACCGGCAAGCGGATGTTCACTGGTCTCTTTTCCCACCAACACCCAGGAAGCCTGTCCCGGGTCTGCAGAAGAGGATGTGCACACTGGGAAGCAAGGTGGGGGGTGTCGGGCAGGAGACCCTTTTACCGTGCCATGAGCTGCTGCCAAAATCACTTCCATTGTAAAGTCGACAGTCGGCTTTAGCTGCCAGGAGTCTGTTTACAGGGGCCCGCTGCCAGCGACGTATCAGATATGTCCTTGGCAGCAAAAGAGTTAAAGGTAGCTCTTTCCTCCAAGGTGCAGTGACACACCAAAAGTCTAAAAGATATGATTTTGTGCAAACATCGCCAAAACTAAAAAAAAAAAAAAAAAAGCTTGTTTAGGGAGAAAAGGCCTGGTTACTCAAGTGGCACAAAGGCAGGACTGTCCACAGATCCATAGATCAATACAGTACAAACAATTCCCAAGCACACTTGAGACCAGGCCAAGCCAGTCAGCAAAAAAAAAAATCAAATTAAAACAAAATCTAAACTGTTTCAGCAATTTCCATTAAAAACTGGATGGGCTACTTCCAAAGCATACTTTCAGTTTAGTCATTACTATTTGTGTGCCATAATAGAAACTTTGTTAGACTGGAGGTAAGGGCCACCCTTTGTAGAGGGGCCTTGGTGTGGTAGTGTGGTTTCCAATGTATTTGCAAATACGTGCAACAAGAACTTTTGTTTCTAATCCAAATTGTTGAATCAGGTAAGATTTTTTTTTTTTTTTGCTGGCCAGCTGGTAAGAATTTTTCCTATTTTACGTACGTGTACCTTACTATAAAAAGATAGTTATAAACTCATCACAACAGGAGCCATTTTTACATTGCTTACTAAATAAATATTTATTTGTAAGCATGAAGGAACTTCTAAAACTATTCAAACAACATATATGGTGGATATGCATACAATTTTTATTTTATAACATAATCACAAAAAGATTAGCTGTTACTCATGGAAAGCAATATACTTTTTCGTTTGTTTTCTAGGAAGGTCAGAAATGTCCAAATTAGTAACCTTGTTTGTGATTATCTGGCTGTTAATAGACAGCGTTAGGTTAAAGTCATGGTGTCAGCATACAGGGAGGCGAACGCAGGACTAATCATTTTCTTCAGTATGGGATGTTTGCTATTGACATTTATGGTAATGCATTTTTTTGTTGTAGGTCCAGCCTATTTATGTGCCTTGTCCATTCTAATATAAACTAAATATACTGTGAGGCTCAATTCACACATGAGGGGTTTTCTGCGCATATTCGACCGTACAACTACGATGCGGATCTGTGCTAAACATAAAAAACAATGCATTGCCATGTGCATTGTTCAGACTATTGTGGTGGTCATGCGGTACGAAATACGGCAAAATAGTCCAAGCGTGATTTTATGGGCGGATTATAGTAATAGCTGTAAACGTACAGAATATACTTGTATGTTAATGTTTGTGCGGTTTCGTTGCATGCGGTTTTCCATGCAAAAAAACAGGCAGAAAATGCTACCGCTATGTGTGAATGGAGCCTAAATAAATCATTTCAGAATGCACAGTATACGGTTAGTGTGCTTTACTATTGGCCCCCTTGTTTATATCAGTACGTCAGGGTCCAGTGCCTTGTCATTACCAGCCTGATTCTTCTGGCACAGGGGCATACAGAAAGGTTCACAGCCATTGTGCAGAGTTATGTCGTTAAAGATACGATGAGAACATGATTAGAGTCACAATAATATAGTCAGATTCATAATCCAAAATCCTCCTTTCTGTAACATGAACCTTGGAAAAGTGATCATAGCTAACTCCTTAATAAAACATTTGTATCGGTGAATAAGTGGTGGGTGCTTTACCTGATTCACAAGGGAAAATGTTTAATCTGCCTTAATTGTCCAGTAGATTTTTAACACAATATTGGCAGAAGAAAGCAACAAAGCCTCAAATCAGATAACCGTTGATATAATCTAATTTAGAGAAACCACAGAAAATTAATCCTGTTGCTGTATTTTTTCCGTTAACAAAGACTGAATGTTGATCAAGTATTCTACTATAACACGCTTATTTACACTATTTGAGGAGGACTGATATGTCAGTTTTTGGTAGGAGCCACGACATCTTCATGTTCTCCTCTTGAGTTTCCAGTTGTGGGCTCTCAGATCTACACGCTCAGAATTTAATGGTAGGCAGAAGCAGATCCTGAAACCAGGGAAGGCAGATCTAAACAAAAAAAAAAATCAACATCTTCATAATATCCTTAATTAAATTGAAGTTTGTGACAAGTTTGCTTTAACAAGATTGGATATTTGAGGTGATCATAGGCGTCACATTGTTTTGCCTAATGAAAGGACCCTATTGGTTCTGAAACATTTTTAGGTTTTGCGATGGCAAGTTTATCTAATGTCAGTAAAGGATAGATTGATAATGTGGACCTCAGCATGCTGGTGACCCTATTACTTCTATTGTCTTTTGCGGTGCCCTCCGCTGGCCATTTTAGCAGCCACTGCTGTTGCAAGAAGAGATACATCCGTCTGGAGTGCGATAGAATATATGTCACATAGGTTCACTGGGACATTAATTCATCCTTAAAATATTTTCTTGTGTCTTGAAAAAGATACTTGCTCCATGTAGTGCTATGAGGATTTTATTAGATATGGCCTGTCTGAACATTTGTATTTTTTTTTATTTCAGGATTATGACGCCATGGTCAGGCTTGTGGAAACACTAGAAATGCTGCCAACCTGTGACTTGGCAGATCAGCACAATATAAAGTTTCATTATGCCTTTGCTCTCAATCGGTAAGACGTTTTTGTTGATGTGCTTATCTTTTTTGTCAAACATTAAACTCATTTTGTTGTAACAGCCCATAACAGCTGCCTTCAAAAACTGCAGAACTGTAGATATATTGAGGGGAATTTATCAAAACTGGAGCAGTTTCCCATAATAACCAATCAGTTTGTTCAGCTAAGTTTTAAAAGTAAAAGCTGATTGGTCGTCATGAGCAACTTCCCCAGATTCTGTCTGCTCCAGTTTTGATAAATCCCCCTAATTGTATTTGGTTTAATCTGAGGCCATATTTGTACATTGTCATAACTATTCAGTAAGACAGTGCAAAGTTAGGAGCTAACATAAAGAGTGCAGTAACCCAAAGTGACATCTCATGGAGTTAGGTCAGAATACATTCTGATTGGCTGCATTGTTGCATCTGGTTTTTACACTTTGGTAGTTGTTTCTAGCTTACTAAATAAGGGTGTGTGCTTTCGGGACCACAGCACTGCTATGCCTGATGAAGGGATCCTGTGTGGTCCCGGAAGCGCTTGTATATTTGACACAAGTTTTGAATAAATTCACGATTGACTATCCTTGAAGAAGTCTGGTGCGCTGGTGACATCTCTTTATTATCTGCAACTGGCGGCACCATCCGCGGTCATTCCAAGCACCCTTCCCCATATTTGGGATTATCCGGTAAGGAGTGCAACAAACCTTTCTCTTCATATCTTAATAAACCAGCAGACACAAGTTCTGGAACTGGGCATAGTAGAGATTGTCCAGCAATGGGGGCATGTACCAATAACGTGGCTATTCCTGCATACATGAAACCTATGTAGAGCAGAAGTAACGGTTATCGATAAGTATATCTGTTTGGGAGCTATCTCAACCCTGAACATAATGTTTGTACTAGAAATTAATCTTGGTGCTTTAGAGGATTTAGAGGATCTCTATGGTATTGCCTAAAATAAATTGGATAATGATCCATGAGAAATTATCTAGTATTCTGCAAGATAGGTATGCTCAATTAGAAGCGGTATGGGAACATTGACTGAGTCACCTGGCAATCTCGAGCCCACGTTGAGCATGGTTATCTTGCTCAGGCTAAACACGGTCTTGATGGTTCGGAGCTCGGGAGTCTGTCTGCAATCTTTTATAATTTTAAAAAATTTGTATTTATGTTTTTGTATTTGTTCGCTTTATTCTTTTTTGCAAAAAAGAAATTACTCCTATTGTGCAATGTGCAAAATTAAATTACATTTCCTGATTTATGGAAAATGTGTTCTCAGTGAACAGACTATTTAGCATTGTTCAGAATAAAGACCGCTTTGATACCACACCTCTGTTTCACTTCCTAAGTCACTTTGTATACAATATCAAGAAAGTCTTGTTATCCTGATAACAGATGTACAGGACAGTGTGTCCAATGAATTTCAATAATATGAAATCGTATACCATTATCCTCAAGACATTCAGTTGTGTTCAGTAAATAATATTGTTGGGATTATTTCTGGAAAGTATACTAATTACATCTCCATTTTAATGGGGACTAAGCAGTAACACAATGTTTTTCTTCCCTAGCACAGTATACACATATTTACTAAAGGCTTTAGAAAGAAACAATAAGTATAACAATTTTAATAATATAAAGTGTATGTACAGCTATAACTTTTGTAGCTTTAGAGTAGGGAAGGTTTAAAACCCATGTCAGATTATTTTTGGTTGTGTCCTGTTGGGAGAATACCCTTCACTTCCTCTCCTCTAGATGCAACAGGAAGTTAAAATAAATCTCCTCTTCCCATTGGAATATAGCCCCTCACCTCTTGCTCACCTCTTGCTCTCATGATGACTCCAACATTTTGAATTTTCCTTTTGTCTCAAGGACATTAGACAACAGATAGGACAAATAGGGGTGTGAATTTCCCAAGTAGGAATATTGAAAAAGGGGTTGAGACGCTAGGCAAACATTGTTACACTGTGCAGTAAGCAAACACAGTGGAAACATCAGTGGAAACACAGTGACTGTGTTTGCCTGATGAAGGGATCATGTTCGGGTTCCGAAACGTTGCTTATTGCACTGTGTCACTATGTTTGCCTAGCGTTTCAACCCCTTTGTGACGGGAGACGTACATTGTATGTCCCGCCACGAAGTGCCTATATGACTGGCCACGTACACTGTACGTGACAAGTTTTTTAAGGCTCTGTAATGCCGGTAACCGCTGAGAATCAGCGGTTACCAGTCAATAGTGAATGCCTCAGTATTGAGGCATTCATTAATGAAATAGTTAAGCTTTTGTAAAAGCTTCTTTCTTTCATTAAATGAAAGAATGAAGCTGTTACATACAAATACGGGATCGATAAATAGTGATCCCGTATTTGACAGCTGAAAATAGCAGAGAGGTAGCAGAGTGAGTCACCTCTCTGCTATTCGTTTTGACAGCTCCGTAGACTGGCCCCATGTTTATGATATATTTCAGGCAAAGTGTTACAATGTATCTCTGTGCCTGAAATGTATCACTTCTGATTGTCTAGGCACCATCAGAAACCTTTAGTGAGATCTGATTCTGACATGCTGTCAGGATCAGTCTCTAATTTTATTATTAGCTGTTCCTAATTTTGGAGCAGCCTAATAATAACCAATTGGAAGAATCACACAGCAAAAATGTAAAAAGTGTGTCAGTCATTTATAAACAGAAACTGAAAACTAGCTCAGGCACGAAGGGGTTAATAAAAAGGACGTTCAGCACATTTGACCTTGGAGTGCGGGTGACTTTTTCAATATTCCTGTGATTTTGCGCGGTGCTATCCGCAGGTCATACCAGCACCCATTTGTTCTATAGGATTTCGATCTGGAGTGCGCTGGATCAATTACTACACGTGATTCTCCCAAGCAGGGACACAGACAGCAATAAAAATTTGACAAGAGGGCCTAAGCCTTCCCCACTCTACCAAAAACAATCCCTTTTATATACTTTAAAAAATGCCTATTATTTTTTTTTTCTTGCCATGGAATGTAATTTCTTTATAGCATAATATATATTTGTTTTAGCTACCTGCAAATATAGTTTAGACCTTATTGGTTCTAAGGGATTGCAAGAGGAAAGTGTTTGTGAAATCAGAAGATGACACATCCATACACATGAACATACAGATCATTATCCAATACAAAAGACTATTTGCCATATCCATTTATCTTGACTGCTCAACGCCAAAAAATATAGGGATCACTTGTTAATCTGACCTGGATATTCAATCTTTACGTTGCAGGAGGTGCATAAACTGGGCACCTGATGAATTTAAGCCTGCAGCGATGATACAAATAAGTCATGGTCATAAATTTGAGAATTTGTCTCATTACTGCAGCATTATATGCATTAAGTAAAGTTTATGGAATACTTTCTTAGTGTGTGGATCAGATGCATGTAAGCTCAGCCAACAAATGGATTCAATTCTGACCGATTCAGCAGGAATTAGCCGAGGTTCGATCTGTAGGTGGCCTTATTTCCTTGACAAAAGATGAACTTATGTCAAAGGGACATGCTGGAAAATTGGCGGCCAAATAGAGCTTGCAGCCAATCAGATGTAAATACTGTTCTAGTATTCTGACAGTGGAAGGCACTGCTGCCAGAATACTTTGCCTCAGCAGGAGATTTGTTCATCTACCCTGTTAGTCTGGATGGAGGAAAAATCTCTCCATGTGTACCTAGCTTAAGATAGGTTTTTTTGTATTGTGTGCATGGGTGTAAGGTTTTTTTGTATTGTGTGCATGGGTGTAAGGAGAAGTGTGTGATCACATAGTTAACAGACCAGTTAAAGAGAAACTGCTGATGGGTGACTATATGTGTCGAATTCATAATGTGGAGCAGAGGTCTCTATACCTGGAATATCTGGTCAGAAAAATACATTAGGCTCTTCTATAACATGTATAGAGACCCTAGCAGGGGTGTCCCTAGCCTAAGTTTAGTGTTGCAGCTAGGTTGTAGTCAGCCTGAGCTTGAATTGTTATAGTTCTGTTTTGTTAGGCTTTCCCTATTCTCAGGGTAGTGTTTGCTTATGCCTGTTGCAGGTGTTCCTCAGCAGTTAGTGTAATAGGAAACAGTATTGCTGAGTTATTAATATATGTCTCCCTGGTCCACCACTAGGAGGGTTATTGCCATTGGTGCATCATGGGGAAAGATATACATATTTGGGGTGACCTTGCAGAAGTGATTCCCTCTGCCTAGATAGGATGTCAGTCTAAGCAGGTCCTTTGCCTCCCTGATCTGCTGCCTGGATAGGTCTATGCTAAATGAGTGGATCTGTCTCATAGGGGCCTAGAGGATTTTGAAGCTGCTGAACAATCTAAATACTGTAGTATAGTTTTCTGGTTCCCGGTTTAGGGCCCTTATTTCTACATTGACTGTAAGTAGAAGTCTTTTTCTTTGCATTTTTTTGTTGCTTTTTGGCTACCCTTTGCCTAACCCTTTTTTCTGAAATTATGTTTTAATAAACTCTCTTAAATGTTCCAAAGTGACTGTTTTCACCTCACTAAGAGTCAACGATCTCCCCAAAAGATTTGAGATGCTAGCCCACCTAGTCACCTGTGCTTATCCTCCTCACAGAAGAAAGAAGGTGCCACATAGGCATGTGGAGTATGAATGGAATTAGTGTTCTTATCAGTAGCCCATCTTGGAAATCAGAATGTTTTCAGGTTTTATTCTCATTTTTAAGTAGTGTTCCTATTCAAACAGCAGATCTGGGGCACCGTAGTCTCCCAGCGTTTACCTTTTTTGCTGCTTTTTTACATATTTTTTGGTAGAAACATATTTGACCCTGCTGGGTTTTCATCAATTAACTGGTCAAAATGGCATGTTATAAGTGCAGTGTAAAACTAAGGGCATGTGATATGTGCAGGTGAAGACACCTGCTCAGTATCGCATAATCTCAGGAAATGACATTCAGATGATAACTGCTCAAATTGGTGAAGCTTTTGTAACAGCTGCTTTTGTGTGAGTAAACAAAGGCAGCATCCTGACACCTGCTCTACACC